CCTCTTGTAGCTTTGCGCGAAATTCAACAAAACAAACAAAACTTACAAATATTGATTATTGAAATAGGTGTAGGAGCAATGGATTGAGTGTTGACTCCAATTTACTTTGGTGGGAAAATCTATCATTATATATACTTATAATGCGTCTCTCAATAAAATAGGGGTATTGTGACTTGTGTTCAATGTTGTGTTGATGTAATATTCTCCACTCCAGTTGCAATAAAAATTATTGAATATTTGTATTATCAAAATTGTATTAAGATACTTTCATTGCAGTTTTATGGGTAGGGCAAAGAGAAATTGAAAATGTTCAACTATAAGGCTACCAATGAGCCTAATTACTAGTTATAAACAGGGCTGATCATGATAAGGTCTTGTGCCCTTATTAGGACTTCTTAACAGTGGGAGAATATCTTTATACTCTATGGCCTAGAAAAAAATGGCCTCAAAAATGGAAGTTTCATTCTAGTAAGTTACTGATTTGCTGTCACTTCCCTGTCTTATTAAGGTGGACAAGGTTAGGAAATGGAGTTCTGAACAGTGAGTGGTTAATGTATTGCCTAAAACAATGATACTTTAATAAACAGGGCTGATGAGGCAGGTGCCCATTGGAGCAATGGAGATTGTACACTCAGCAGGAAATATCTACTGTCCAGCAGAAAAAAATAACAGAAAAACCTAAACATCAAGCTAGTAAATGATGCATGTATAATAAGTGCATCAGACTCTGCCGATACTACATTATAACTCATTGCAATGTTACGAGGACCAAGTACTACCTTGAGAAGCTTTCTTGAATTTTATGACATCATACTCATGCAAAAGATTAAATTCTCTGGCCCTGAGGATTTCATTCTCACTAGCTTTAACTGCATACTACGTGCTGACCCAGAGGTTGAGAAAAGCATTGCAGTTTGACACAACACAAGCATTTGCAACAAACTTTAAGACAAATTCGATGACGAGGAACCCACTTTGAGACTAATAATGGCTGGAGACGGCTTAAATGGGTAATGAA